ACGTCAGCCAGCGCATGTGTGTTCTCCAGCCTCCTTAGCCAGTCTCTGTCTGGCATATAGGCTGCTGCGGCTGCAGGCTGTGTTCCCCTGGCGCGTTGTCGCATTCGCCGACTTGCCCGCCAGTTGGTCCTCGCTGTGTCTGATGCCTCAGCCAGCGGGTGAGTGTTCCCCAGCCTGCGGCGCTGGCTCCCTGTCTGACGTTGCCCGCTTCTTGCAGGCACCCAGTAGGGTCTCCTCTCAGCGGCTCGATGAGCTACGCTTCCTCTCCTCTTCCTGCTCCTGGGATTCCAGGTTCGGGCCCTGGGCTCTGAAGGCTCCAGCTGGGGATCCTTGGGGAGTGTATGTGCGGGCTCGTCCTAGCCGACTGCCCGTGCTTCTGGCCTGTTGTCGCGCCAACCGCATGCCGCGGGTTGAGCTTGTCAGACCTTGCTGTGTCTGACATTTTGGCCAGTGAGTGAGAGGTCCCCAGCCTGCGATGCTAACTCCCGGTTGGTCCTTGCCTGTGTGTTACAGACTTACAAGGCCAGCACGGGGACACCCAGTAGCTGGGACTTTGTGAGTTCACTCTTGAGGCTCCACTGTCTGCGGACATGCACGTGGTGATGGTGCTGGGGGTAGACTGTCGGGTCGTTGCTTTGCTCAGCCCTCCACTTACGCAGGCGTACACGCCAGTCGGATCTCGCTCTGGCGAGTGAGAGCTCTCCAGCTGTAGTGCCGACTTTCTGTCTGGCATTGCCCGCATGTCGTAGCCCTATGCGACCAGCGGGCTGTTACTTGGCGGTTCGGTGTGCTGCGTTCCCTGACTATCTGCCTTGCGGTTCCCGGGCTGACCTTGCACTCCTGCATCCTGCAGGACCGGTTCAGGCCAGTCTGGCATCTGCAGATTGCTGCCTCCACCCCCTGGCTCGGCCTTCGCGTCTGGCTTGGCCCTGACCGGGGTGGTGTGTACATATGTGTATTTGTACATAGTTCTTTGGTCTTCACTCTCGGCGGTTCGGTTGCACTGTCTCCTTGCGGGGTGTCTTACAGAGTTACCCCGTACATATGGAATATGTAACGGTGTGGAGAGATAGTCTCGATATACTAGAGAACGTACGGTTACGGTGTAACCTTGGTTCTCTTAGTGAGAGACTATCTCTCCACCGTGAGGCCACTCGGAAACGCGTTCCGATCAAACGATCACCGGTGTCACGTCTGCACAGCTGTTTTATACGTAAGCTGTGGGCCGTAGCCGGGCGTGCCGGAGTGTCTTAAAGAAATATCCACACGCCACAACCAAGGGGGGTCGTACCCCGTACATATGGAATATGTAACGGTGTGGAGAGATAGTCTCTCACTAAGAGAACCAAGGTTACACCGTAACCGTACAATCTATTCAAAACCTCTCCCAGTCAGGGCTGTTCTCCATGCCTCTCTGACTGTACATGATGTTATTAGCACAAACACTTTAAAGGTGATCATTTAGGACTTCAACAATAATACAGACAGCAATGTAGTTAAACATCTTACAGTTAGTTTTATTGGTTCCAAGTTTGTGTTCCAGAGGGTGATGGGAGTCAAACAGGAGGTACTGGTCCGTGTGTGTGGGCTTCCGGTAAACTTCGATGTTGAGGTTGCCATTCTCTTCAATGTGCACAGTGCAGTCCAGGAAAGGCAAACAGTCGTCCTTTGTGTCTTCCCTGGTGAACTTGATGTTTTTATCCACAGCGTTGATGTGCGCAGTGAAGGATTCCACTTCTTGTGTCTTGATTTTGACCCAGGTGTCGTCTACATATCTGTACCAGAGTACCCAGCCACTGGTACAGATATGTAGATGACACCTGAACACAAACTTGGAGTAATTAGGACCCTACACCACCGGGCAGAACATGTTCCCTCTAAGCCTGAAGGGAAAAAGAAGGAACACACACATGTAAAGGAAGCACTCAAAACGTGCGGCTATCCTAAATGGGCATTTTTAAAGTCAGCAAAGAGGCACAGAAAAGAAGATCAGACACCAGCGAGGGAGGATAACAAGGACAGACGCAACAACATTGTCATCCCCTATGTAGCCGGTGTATCAGAAAAACTCAGGAGGGTTTTCTCCAAGCATGACATCCCGGTGTACTTCAGACCCAGCAACACACTCAGACAAAAACTGGTTCACCCGAAAGACAAAATGCCAAAACACAGACTTAACAATGTGGTGTATGC